AACTTCGCCACCTTGCCACCGAACATTTGACTAGAGCTATGATGGCACAGCGGCAAAGCGCCATGAATGCTGCTGCCGGTGGACAGACTGGTATTGCGACTAGTATTACTGCTACGGCCAGCCCTCATCAATATGCCGCTCTGCTAAGACAACAGCAGCAGCAGCAGCAGGCTCAGGCGCAGGCGCAAGCTCAACAGGCGCAAGCCCAGGCTCAAGCTCAGGCCCAGGCCCAACAGCATCAGGTCCAACACTCACAGCCGACGCCAACGCCAACTCCGACACCGACACCGCAGCAGCAGCAACAGCAGCGACCTCAGCAGGTGCCTCAGTTGCAACAAGCTCAGCAGCAGGCTCAGGCACAGCAATCACCAGCGCAAGTGCAGCAGCAGCAGCAGCAGCAAAGGCCGCAACCACAACCACCACAACAATCTCAGGCCCAACTTCAAGCCCAGACTCAGGCCCAAGTCCAGGCCCAAGCTCAAAGTCAAGTACAGCAAGTTCAGTCGCAGTCGCAACCCCAGGCCTCTCCTCAACTACCAGCACACCCTCCCGCTGGAAGTCCGGCACCTCTTCAGCGTCAGGCCAGTGGAAGCGCAACCCCTTCCGCAGGCAAGTAAACAACGAGCGTTTCTGGATTGTGCCCTGCGGTACTCGTTTTCTTATTGTAATGCAAACGCCTCACGTGGTTATTGATTCCTTTTTCACACGTCTTTTTCGTTCGACGGTTTTTTTTTCGTCAGGGCAAAAACGGGAGGTGTTAAAGCGGGAAAGGGAGGTTTGGGCTGGTTTACACTTTTAACGTTAGATGCCTTTCTCATTTTTTTTCTCCATCCCCCTTCTATCTGTTCTAATGTGGGCTTTAACAATCGGGTTTTGGAACTCTTCTTTCTTCTTCTTCATCTTTCAAGTCTCCTCTCTTATGCTAGAACAGGGGGTTCGCGAGGATCTTTGCTGGGTTTTAGTTTTTTTCTCCCAGCTGTTTTGCGAAAGGCAGGAAGAAAAAAACAACAAAAAAGGAATGTGCTAGGGAAAGCGGGCAGGCGGGCGGCAAATCAATTGTAGAGATATGTACATAGCTTTTATTCATCGTTTCAGAGACAACATTGGGAGGCATACAGACAGATGAGGAAGATATTGCCCGAGGGACCCGAAAAAAGGGGGCTCGGCTTGGGGCAATGGTGGGAATGTTGTATGCAGAGAATCAAGCATCTGGGGTGACCAGCGGGGGCCCCTGATTTATGTTGTCAAAATATGTTCTTGTTTTCTTCTCTACGTGATGTATGAAGTGGCATGAGTAATGATTAATGGAGGATTTGGTCAACAACGGATCGTCAACGAAGAAATGAAGGAAGAATGCAAGGGAAATTTCATCCATTCTATTGTGTTGGTAAAAATTTAAAACGCCGGGTATGATATGTATACATCATATACTTCCCAAGAGTAACAAAGAAAAACAGATAATTAAAACCCCCCCCCCCAAAAAAAATAGAGGCTTCATCTATGACATGCTTTGTCCCTACACGGCTCCTGCTCCACCTCCTCTACTGTTATCTCCGTGAAGTAATAGATGCGGCTTGATGAAATCATCGTCCAACTGTTTAAACAAGCTAGCTGGATCCTCCGCCGAGAGCAACTGCCGAATGGCGCCCGTGGCGGACATTGGAGTAGCAGACGATGGCTCAGCCGGGCTCATGAAGGCACTGCCTTCGCCTGACGGCGGGTTAGGACTAACTGGCGCTCGGGGGGAGCGACGATTCGCAGGGGGCGGCAGGTCTGAGATGTCGATGTCGCTGCCAATATCGGAATCGTCGGTATTGTTGCGCAGCAGATCGGGTCGCTCGGTTTCGGTAGGATTGCGGATCGAATTCTTGCGGCTCAGGCTGTTGGGCCGGACGCCCGTATGCGGTGATGAAGTACCAGATACGTAAGCCGCGGAATTGTCTGTAGGAGCGCTGAGGTTGTTCAGAGCGACGGTGCCATTGCCGTTACGACGAGGATTGTAGCCAATGGCGGAGCCGGAGCGCTTGACCTGAAGACCAGTACCAAACGACTCAATGTCAAACTCGTCATCACTATCGATTTCCTCGACTACTCCTGTGCGAATACCGAGAATCTCCAGCATACGGGCCGTGGTGCCGCCAAAGATGATGACAGTCAGGACCACGACAACCAAGACCGTGGCTCGGAGGGCGTATGAGTTTTCGCCCGTAAGAAGAGCTGCCAATGCAACACCGACAGCACCGCGAAGGCCGGCCCAAAATAGCATGGCTTGGTAGTTGTAGGGGAGCTCATCGCCGACTTCCAGGCCTCTCCTCCTCGCGCGGTAGCGAATGAACCAGTTGATGGCCTTTGAAAGGGGGAAAACGGCGACCCAACGGGCAGCGCATACAGCACAGATGGTGACGATGATGAGAGGGGGTTCAAACTGTAGGGCATTATCTGTGAAGAGCGCCAAGCCCAGGTAGATGAAGATGAAATTCTCAGACAACTGCGACATGACTTGGAAGATGAACTTGGTGGTGAGTTGTGTACGTCTCGACATGTTAAAGTAGGCATAATGTTTCAGCGTGATGCCACAGAAGAGCAGTGACACGATACCTAGACAATGATTAGGCTTATTCATGGCACCACGAATGTAGGGAAGCCTTACCAGAAGCGTGAATACTATGTGAAAAGAAGTAGGTGGCATATGCGATCAAGATAATCAAACAGCTTTCAATCTTGGGGAATCTTCGAACATAGGTAAACTTGAGCAGAAGAGCCGTACCAATGCCGACGACGATACCGATGAGCATACTGCCAAAGAAGACGAGCAAGAACATGCCGATACCATCAAAAAAGCTAATGATGCCGTAGTTGGCCTTGCCCTCACTCTTCTTGATATATTGCGCGGTTTCGAAAATGACAATGGCGATGGCGTCATTGAGAATGGATTCGCCAAAAATGATGGTGTAGAGCTTAGGGTCGACCTTGTACGTGTTGAAAATGGCCAGAATGGTAACGGGGTCGGTGGCAGAGAGAGTTGCGCCGACGGAGATGGCATCGACCAGACTCAATTTCAATGACCCAGGCACCAAGTTGAATACCCACAAGATCAGCCCTATGACCATGGCGGAAAGAAAGGTACCAGCGAATGCGAACGTCAGGATAGTGCCGATATTGCGGAAGAAATTGGCCTGGTGCAGCTCGTATCCGGACGACAGAATAATGGGAGGTAGGAGGAGGTTGAAGAAGATCTGATAGTCGAAACTGATGAGGTTTCGGATGGAATCGCCGGAGCTGATGAGTAGAATAAGGCCAACCACCATGCCTATGAAGCCGACAACGTTAACGCAAGTCTTTTGGTTTGGGAGAAGAGTAGTCGAACCTGCAAAGATAGAAATGACTGTCTCGTGGATAGCAGTCACCTTCTTCTGCTGGAGAAAGTAGCTTGTGAAGAAGGCGATGATGAGCAGCATGATTGATATGAAGATGGCTCTGGCGGCGAAGAATTCCTTTTCGCCAACATCATCTGAATATAGCCAACTGTCAGCAATCGGTTCCCTCTTTTTCCATTCCCTCGCCCCTCGTTCCTCATGTTCCCTCTATTGCTTCCCATTCATCGCGGGGAGACGTTACCTTCGGGGTCGCCCTCTTCTTCCTCTCGCCCTACACGTTGAAACGGTCAGCTTGTCCAGAGCAGCAAATTACACGCAGCGCGACATTGCCGCCAGACATACGTAACAGCTGGAAGCCCAAATTGGCCAGCTCGGTGGCGGCCATGGCGGCCATGGCGTGCGATGTCGAGGTCCGCGGACACGATCGAGGTGGGATTCGGATTCGTTAAACGGTGGAGCATGCGCGAGCCTTGCGGCGCAAGCGAGACGATGCGGGCATGGAATCGCAAGCCGGAAAACAGAGTCGCGACGGGTGCAATTCGAGCGACGGACCAGCGGCGATGAGGCTGGAGTTGGCGGAGGAGAGTTGCAGTTGCTCGGGCTAAGAATCCAGCGAGGACTGTGTGAACATGTGCCAAGTCCAAGTCCGGAGTTTGGCTGCGGTTGTTTATTTAGTAGATGTGGACATGTACCAGCCAGTACCGTGTTATGCAGGTGCCTGGTTGATAGCGATCTAGTAGCGCTCTAAGCCCTGTAACTGGGCGTGGGCTAGTGGATCGCTGATGACGAGGCCGCAAGCCAGGACATGCATGTACTCGTGCACTCTCTGAGCTTAACAGGCTGCCGGCAATATGGACGCTATTGAATATTAATCCCGTCAATACAAATGAATAGAAAAAAAAAAGATTGAAACCGCAGAACAAGTAAATAGGAGATTGATGCCGCGTGGCCTCATCACTCGTTAGTCATTCTGCAGGGCAGGGCACCGATTACAAGCGTCCCAGTGGTTCAACGTGCTACAAGTGTCGGGGCCAAGACGGGAAGACGGAAGACGGGAGGATGGATCGCCGTCCGTGTCATTTTATCGCTGCAGGGCGAGTTGTCCCGTGTCTTTGCAATGTACTCGAAGCCAAGTAATGGCTAGATTGAAAACGATCTTGTTCATATAGATGTGATCTGGCGTCTAACGAGGAGAAATGTGTATACTTGACACGGGGCATTTATTACACACGCAGACTTTAGCAGTGCCTCAAGTGCTCATGGCTGTCTCATATCACTTCCCCTAGTTTCTGTCAGTCTGGTATGGGCCTGTTTAAGCAACTGATGTATAGAAGAAATCCACCAAATAGCAGCAACTCGTTTACAATCATGTCAGCCCATTTCCCAGCGTCTCTCTCTCTCCCTCTTTGGCGGGGCTCTTCGGGGCAGCAGCGCGGGGTGGGGGAGAACCGAAGCTCTCCGGGGCGGCTCGCTAGAACAAGGACGGCCTTTCACCGGCTTCTGATCCTCCCCATAAGCACATGCATCGTCCAACACCTCAACTCCCAATCAACTCCACGACCTGCCGCTCTGCTTTTGCGAATCTCGGCTCTACACGCCACATGATATGATCTAGAGCCGACCATGTACCACCTTGCCAAAGGCCTCTACCTCCTCGCAACAAGCAAAGAAGGTGACCATAGCACAGCACAGCACAGCACAGCCTGACCTCCACTCCACGGCTAACCCAAGAGTCTTGCCTCAGAATACTCCGTCATCCTCCTCGGCCTCGACAATGCCGGCAAGACGACCTTTCACGAGCAGGTCAAGTCCATATACCTCCCCAATGCGCCCGAGCCCAAGCTCAAGACCGTCCCCACCGTCGGCCAGAACGTCTCGACTATAACCCTGCCCGACATGTACCTCAAGCTCTGGGACGTCGGCGGCCAGCACTCCCTGCGCAAGCTCTGGCAGAGCTACTACGCCAGCTGCCACGCCATCGTCTTCATCATCGACAGCACCGACATTGGCGACGGCGACCTGGCGCACGAGAACACGGGCCGCCTGGACGAGTGCAGGCTGGTGCTGGAAGACGTGCTGCAGCACTCGGAGACGGAGGGCGTGCCGCTCCTGATATTGGCCAACAAGCAGGACAGGGAGGACTGCGTCGAGACGATACGCATCAAGGAAGGGCTGGTCAAGCGGGTCATGGAGGGCGAGAAGGGCGCTGCCATTCGCGACTCGCGCGTGCTCGCCATGAGTGCGCTGACGGGCGAGGGCGTGCGGGAAGCAATCGACTGGGTGCGGTCGAGAGTCCAGTGGAACAAGGAGTCACGGCCACCTGTCATGAGGTAGCCGTCGATCGAGCGGACGAAACAAAGCGTTGTATGTCGGTTACAGGCAAAACGAGCGTCGGGATGGTGTTCTGAGGCGTTTCCGGTTGGATAGATATGGGTCGCTTGTTGCTCTTTCATCTGGTTCGCGAGCAAAGCGAAAGCTGAATGTAATCCATCGGCGAGATTGTATTCTGTTTATTTTGTAATAATCCATTAGAGGGAGAATCCATTATCGGGGTATCATGCATTTTGCTTTCCTGATTTTTTTTATCCTTAGTCAACGTATATAGGTAGATCACATTATTGCCCCCCTTGGCATTTTGTCTTCATCTCTCATTTTCCGCAGATAGCTCAGCCATCAGGCCACCCTTGTCTCTCCTCTTGGCATCCTCCGCCAGTTTCCTGTCCACCAAGTCCGTAAACTCTTTTGCTTTTGCCAGGGCCATCTGAGCACACTGTATGATCAGCGTAGCCTCTATAGGCTTGCCTCCGAGCTTTGAAATCTGACATATCTCGCCGTGCTTGTTGAGACTGAACGTGCAGCTGCCCACCCGCAGCTGTTCCTCCAGCCATGTAGTGTCCACCAATACTATCTCGCCGTCCTCGCCAAAGAAATCAAACGTCGTGCAGAATGGAGAATGCAGCCAGCTCAGCGGCACGGGCTCACGCTCCGCAGGTGTGTAGATGGTGAGCGTCTCGCCTTCCATGCTGGTATCGGGCTTTCGGAAGTGCCTCAGCGCGGCCACGACGGCGAAGCATGAGCTGTCGATGAGGCTGCCGTCGGCGGATAAAACGTGAAGATCGATTCTGACGGACCAGCACTTTTGCCCGGCGACGAGGCAGAGCGACTCCGTATCCAGGGCTCCCGATCTCCGGACGGTCTTTTCAAGGAGTCTGGCGAGCAAGACTTCGGTTTCAGTGGGACGGTTGACTTCAAACGAAGGGGCCACCATGGGGCCGAGCTCTGAAGTGATTTGAAAGATGCCATCAAAGGGCCGATCAGGGAACGGCACTGTGACTTCCGCTGATGCTTTGGCCAGTACTCTGTGCATAGAATGTTAGAAATGGCGGCTCTAGCTGTACGTAGCAGTGTAAGGTATGTCGAATATGAATTGGACCTGCCTTGTCTTCCCCAGCTTCACATCTGCCACGCCATAGTCATCACCAAAGCTGAGTTCCAAAGATCTAAATTGGTCGAGTTTTCGGCCGTCTAATCTCAACCCTTCGCTGATAGCCTGGAGGGTAAAAGTCCGCTCGCTTAATGACGGCTCTGCTTCTCGGGGCATGGTGAATTAATATTTTGCGAATTTTCAAGGGAAAAGAAATTTGCTTTTCTGTTTCTCTCCAAGAGCGAAACTCGATGATATGAAGCTCTCAGTGAGAGTGCAGAACGCCACTGAAAAATTCTGCCGGGCGGTGTGCATAAAGTTGCATGCATCTAAGCTTGTGCCGCGACTTTGATCAACGACACACGTGCCTGACTATTACCGACTCTCCATTCTGTTTCAATCTGCTACTTCAGCGTCTTTCGTTCTGCAAATCTTGACAAGATGACTACCGCTCATAGACCAACTTTCGATCCCGTAAATTTCCACTTCTCCGGATGGAAACGACGTCGGCAATGCTAATCGCACCTCTTAGGCTCGTGGCAAAGAGGCCCTGCGTGGCCCTGCCTACCACCAGCGACTCCTACCAGCGCACACCCAGCTCAAGTACCGAAAGGCGGGACAAGGCGGCGACGCTGACGAAGAGCCCACGCGCGACCTCGCTGCGGAACTTCTTGCGGCCGAGGCGGCCCACTTCAAGAAGAAGAACGGCGGCGTCTTGGCCCCTGAGGATGACGAGGAGGGAGATGTGGAAATGACTTTGGCGCGAGGAGAGAAGAGGTCGCAGTCTGCCAATGGCGGAGAGGAAGAGGATCTCGAGGCGAAACGAAGGAGGATATTGGAGGAGAGCAGGGATATCGACGCAGATGACGACAGCGAAGAGGAGGAAGATTCCGACGAGGATGAGGACAGTGATGACGACGAAGATGCAGAGCTGCAACGAGAACTGGAGAGAGTACGAAGGGAACGTGAAGAGAAGAAGAAGAAGGAGGAGGAGGAACGGGCGAGAGAAGAGCAAGAGGCCCGAGAAAGAGACATTGCGCTCGGCAACCCCCTCCTCAACAAGCAGGACTTCACGATGAAGCGCCGATGGGACGATGATGTCGTGTTCAAGAATCAGGCCAGGGGGACAGAAGACAAGAACAAGAAGAAGGAGTTTGTGAATGTGAGTTTTCTCTGTCAAATTTATGTGTTTACCTTTTTCATTCGAGAGTCGCTAACGATTTCCTCCCTTTAGGACATGCTGCGTTCTGATTTCCATAGACGGTTCATGAGCAAATATGTTCGGTAAATGATGGGAGCGGTTCGGCAATATTCAGGGTTAGCGACGGGCAAGATTTTTTCTATTTTTTCTATTTCTTTTTTTTTCTAGAGGACGATAGACGCCATCATCATAATGAATCACAAAGTCTCCTTGGCGACATTACATCTCTTTCATCCACTGACAACACATGCTCCCTCTCAATGCTTTTCTTCCGCGAGCAGCCTACCCTCCATCTCTTCAAATGCCCCCAAGACCTTGCCATACTTTTGATACGTGCCCTCCCGATATCCAATGTCCACCTTTTCAATCGAGCCCTCCTCCGTCCACCGCTTGCCAATCAGCTCGTCAAACGTCTCGCCGTCGTTCCGCTCCAGAGCCCAGCACGCCTTATACGCACCTCCTAGGGCACAAGCGTTACCCCCGACATCGAGTTTGTATACGCCGTCTGCGCCGCCGAGGACGTCGCCCAGTACTCGTGTGATGGCTGGGTTCAGGGATCCGCCGCCTACGAGGTAGATGCGACGGGGCTGCGCGGGGAGGTCATCGCGTGGGCTGTGAACAAGCTTCTGGGAGCGGAGACGCATGGAAAGAGCCTGGGATTCGACAATGGCACGAGCATCAGCTTCCTTGGACCAGCCTTCCGGGGATTCCTTCAGATCGGTACCATCGCCATTGCAGGTGAAACGCCAGGTTCCGGCACGGATGTTGGGGACCGTCTCTCGAAGGTAAAAGTACAAGCCAATCTTGGCTCGGTCGCCCTCGCCGTCCACGCCCAGGGGTTTCGTTTCCAGTACGGCCTTGTTGAAGTTCTCCCAGCCTGTTGCGCCGCCTTCAGGCTTGGGCAACGTGTCGCGGACTTTTTCACGGGCAAGACCACCGTTTTTGTAGCACAGCATGAACATGTAGTTACCGGGTGTTGTAGGGTGGTTGAAGAAGTGATACGACTCATCCGGCTTATACGTAGGCGTGTTCATAAGGAAAGTCGTTGACGTGCCCAGCGAGACGATGGCATCAAGAGGACGCAAGGGGAGCGCAAGGATCGTGGCCGGGTTGTCGCCGGTAAAGGAGACGATCTGGCAATCCGTGCTGAAGCCGTACTTGTTGACAAAGTAGGGCGAGATGGAGCCCATGGAACCGCCGCCGTCCATGCGAGGCTCGCCCAGCTTCTGACGCAGATCGGCTACACCGGCCGGCCCGGCGGAGAGGGCCAGCAGACGCTCGCTCCAGGTCTGGTTGGGGATATCCCAGAGGTTCATGCCGCAGACGTCGCTGACGTCGAGGGGGGCAATGGTGCCCATGAGCACAGAGGCGAGCCATGAAGAGACGAGGGAGATGCGCTTTGAGTTTGCGTAGACTTCAGGCAGGACTCGTCTGATTCTCATGATTTGGAGTCCGGTGAATCTCTGTATGCCTACAATCAGCTTCACACGACGACCGAGAAGAGAGAAGAAGGAGAAGGAGAGAGATCACGACGCAACTCACATGATGGGCACCGCTGCCCGTAACCGCAGCCAACGTCTCCCTATCCCCCAACTCAGCATCAAAAGCAACCAACTCATCACCCGTGCTGTGATCCTGCCAATTCGGCGCAAACTCATGCGCCAGCGCCTTCTCCAGCTGCTCGACCAGCGATTTCTTCGCATCCAGCCCACCCAGCAGCTCCTCTGCACTCGCACTCCAGAACACGCTGCCGTGCTGCTGGCCAGAGCCGCTGATGCCCTTGATGCGGCTCACGGGCACGGGCATCGCCTTGGCCAGCCGCTCCAGCACCAGGTCGAGCGACTCCAGCCAGAGGGCGACGGGGGCAAACACTTGGCCCGTCTGCTCGCGCACGTGGACGCCCTTGTGGATGCCATACTTGGCGCCAAAGTCTTGGTCAAAGTCGACTTTGGCTTCGGCGACGCCCTTGAGGTTGGAGTTGACGACGATGGCTGAGCGGAAGGTGTTAGTTTGCGGTGGCCTTTGCACGGTGTTTTTCTTCATTCGAGGGGAGACGAACCCTTGAGTTGCTGGGTGGAAAGGTCAAAGCCCAGGTAAAGGGGCCCGTTGTCGGCACTCATGTTGACAAGATCGAAATTGTCTTTCGAATTCCCGTATGCTGCCTACTATATCCAATGGTTTGTGTCCCTGTACAAGATCTTGTAGTGATTGGGGGGGTCTATAAATGGTCGTAATATAGCTCAGATCTTCAACATCGCCAAGCCAATACACCACAAAGCTAAAAGCAGAGCCACACCCTTTCAATAATTCAATTTAAGCTTGAAAAGCGTTTAAACGGGCTCTTGCCCAGCTTTATGAAGAGCGACGAAAGCTGTCAGACGTAATAGTTACACCACCCTAAATGATGCCCTGACATACGCGCGCTTAAAACAAAATCCCCATATATGTCTGCGAATAGTTCCATTGTTTCTAGTTTTCTCGGGCGATTAGGCTAAAGTACATGGAGTAAGGATTTGCGGATGGGTGATGACACAATTTAGCCACCTTGGACTACACCGTGATCCTCTTTTTTTTTGTCTTTTTTTCTCTCTCTCTCAGGTTTGGTTGATCATGGGATTGAATTGTCTTTGTCGAAAAGTGCTTGGAGAAGAGGAGATGGGGATGTGGATTATGGAGGGGGTTCTGGAATCAGCAATTTAGCCTAAATAGAACATTGTCACTGCTACTTTGCGGCGCTGCTAGCAAGCGGCATCTTGGCTCATGGGTCTATGTATATAGCACTTGGGTTAAAGATTATTGCTCTTGGCCATCCGCAATATACTCGATCTTACTTCTCTTCTCAAGTAAAGAATGCCATGTAATAGAGACATGCAGATAAGCTTGAAGAACAGAGTATATATAAAGTACCATCATCCATCTCGAATCTCTACGTTCACCCCATTCTCTTTACATGCACCAATTTGGGCATTACTCCCACCAACCCTGGTCACGAACCATCAGCACCACCAGACGGCCGAGAGAACGGCCTGACCGCGGAGCCGGAACCAGACCCGGAGCAATGCCGGAGCAAGGAACTACGGAACATTCGCATGAGAGATCGGAGCCGGGGCTCTGCGGGCCTTGGCGAAGCAATAGCCGTGTGTAAATCAAGTCTAGTACTACCTTGACCCTATCTACCTAGTCTAGGATGTATACAGAAAATAGAAATCAATGCCAAAGGAAAACAAGATGCTGCCATCTCTAGTGTTTGTGCTTGTGGTCGTGATCGTGCTCCTCCTCCCCCTGCTCTGATTCCTCCGAGACGCTTGCCCGGGCGCTGCCTGGGATGAATTCGTCGAATCGCTTGTTAACATCTGCATCTCGCGATACGAAGCGCACACGGATTCGCTTCACGCCGCGCACCTTGCCTCCCACCAGAGTGCGAACCGCATCTTCCAGATCCTTCACATCGTCGATTGTCCATGCGCCGGGCACTGCCATCTCCAGATCGACCAGGTAGTTGGGCCCAGACTTGGTCCCGGTGATGTCCCGCAGTTCGGCTCGATGGCCTTCGCTGACGTTTGCGATTGCGCGATGCGCGTGCTTGCGAATTGACGCCTTGACTTCGTCGTCGAGGCTTTGGTCGATTAGCTCCAGGAAGGCGGATTTCGTGTTGCCCAGGCCGGCGTGCAGGACCATGGCGGAAATGAGGAGACCGCCGACGGGATCCAGCCAGGCGGCGTTTTCAATGACATTGGCCCCGACAATCGCAAAGAGCGTCACGATACCTGTCAAGCTGTCGATGCGGTGGTGGATGGCGTTGGAGGCGAGGACGGACGACTTGCGTTCGCGCGCAACCTTCATGGCTGTAGAAATCGCGTGTTAGAAGACAGATTCACTACAGATGGAGGGGGGTAAGATGGCAATGAGTCCACGTACTGGCTTGGTATAGCCATTCCTTGATCAGAATGGTGCCCGCTGCCAGCCAGGCGGCGTGTAAGCTGGGAATACCGAGATCCGCGTGACTGTGCGAGTGAGAGTGTCCATGTCCATGCCCGACGTGCTCCAACACATGATGGGCAGCTTCCGGGTTCCAATGGCCATAGAGCGTCACAGCGCTCTCGAAGCCCATGTAGAAGCCGCCCACGATCAGCATGCCCGACACGCCGAGCGCGCCCAGGCTCTCGACCTTGCCAAAGCCCAGGGGGAATCGGTCGGTCGGCGACTTGAGGCTCCACGACACCGTGGCAAGGGTCAGGATGTCCGAGGCCAGATCGGCGATGCTGTGCCAGGCGTCGGCAATCATGGCCTTGGAGTTGAAGGCCCAGCCGCCAATGAACTTTGCAATAGCCATGCTGAGGTTGCTGAGCAGGCCGATGCGGGTGATGCGCACGCCGGGGTCGTTCTTGTCCGTCGACATGAGGAAGGTGTTGTCGTGGTGATGGTGATGGCCAAACAAACCGTGGCCGTGGCCGTGATCGTGTCCATGGTCGTGGTCGTGATCGTGATCGCGGTCGTGGTTGTGCTGGTCGCGTGCCTGGCGAGCGGCGCCCATGATGAAGGGCAGCGAGCGGATGCGGCCGCGGAAGACGGGGCAGATGTGAAGCACGGCGCTGCGAGACGTCAAGGTGTCGGCCAGGGCAAGATGGCAATTGGACGAGGCCGACAGCGAGAAGGGCGGCACGATCGGGGGCGAGGACAGCGTCTGCAGCCGGCGCGAAGGTTGAAGTTGATGTGTCCTCTTGACCTGGAGCTGGAGCTGGTGCTGGTGCTGGCTAAATTTGAGACTGGCAGCCCCGGACCAGCGCACGGCCAGGCCCGTGGAGCGCCTGGCCTGGGCAGACATACAGCGTCCTGGTCTGCTTTGTTTCAGCCGCGAGCCGCTGAGGGGAATGCTGAGAGCGGAGGGAGAGGATGCGCCGGGAGGACAATGGCGGCTCTACGGGACTATCGGCCAGCTGGATGCAGACATGAGAGTTATGTTCCTTCTGTCTCTTGCTCCAGGGCCCGGATTGCGCTGCATTGCGTGCGGCGGGAGAGATGCGCGAAAAGAGTTGAAGAAGCGGGAGAAATGACCGGGTCCGTGGTCCGGAGACCGAGTTCGCCGGTCAGGCCACTGCAACTGATTGATTGCACCGCTGCTGCAGGATTGATCAACAGCACCGCACGTTGCATCGGACTGATGCATCTGGTGGATGCACGGGCATGTACCTCGGGGCTTTGTTCCGATGCTGGGGCCTCCTAGAGGTCCTCTTCAGGCGGCTCCAGGGCACTGTTGGTGCCGCTCGATGCACTGGAACTGGGCGCTGGTCCACTGGAAGCGCTGGAGAGGGTACTTTCCATCAGTCAATCCTAATTGATCCAATTGATCTTCTTGCACATCAAGGTGCTCGGAGCTGCCCCGTTGATGTAATGGTGCGTCACTCTTTGTCAGCAGCCATGATCGGGGTGCATCAACTCCGTTGCGCCTAGATCGGACGAAATGTTTAGATAATCACGGAGCTGGATTGATTCCATCTTTGCAGACCGGCCAAGTGTTTGTTTGCCATCAGCCAGTCACTGGGCACGCATTTATTCTAGAGTTCTTCTATTTGCTCACACGCCGCCGACTACACGAGACTGCCAGGTACCTAACATCTGACGGGTACTACCTGGATCTAACACGAGATCACGGTGCCCAATCAAGTATCGAGAGTCGGTTCGATCGACTGGATAATTGATCGTATATCCCTCTCACCAAGCCGGGGAAAAAACAGTCTCCACGACGTCGATGCCAATTGGCACAAGCAGATTCCAATGAGGAAACCGTTGATGCGAATCCCCTACACTGACATTCTCCCGTCGCCAACAATCATCCCCGCCTCGGCTCATTCCCTCCAAGGTGCCCTCGCCGCCCTCCACAACTTCTTCGCAGCGCCTCCACCTAACCAGCTGCCTCACTCTACCGTCGTTCTCACAGGTGCCGGACTGTCGGTGGCATCTGGGCTGGCCGACTACCGAGGCCCCAATGGCACGTATCGAGTGAACAAGACGTATCGTCCCATCTACTACAACGAGTTTGTACAGAATCACGAGGCTCGCAAGAGGTATTGGGCTAGGAGCTTTCTTGGGTGGTCTAGTCTTCTCAAGGCAAAGCCCAATTCCGGGCACTATGCAATCAGAGATTTGGGGCAGTTGGGCTTGATAAGTGCTGTCATTACGCAGAATGTCGATTCCTTCCACCCCATAGCCCATCCTCAGATCCCCTCGCTCGAGCTCCATGGCTATCTAAGGTCAACCAAGTGCACCACCTGCCACTCTGAATATTCACGCGAGGATTTCCAGCATCACCTTGCCCGGCTGAATCCTCGTTGGGCAGCTCTCCTAGAAGAGGCGCTGGCATCGGGAGCTCTCGACACAGAAGATCCTGACGAAAAAAGGTTCAGAGGGTTGAAAGTCAACCCGGATGGCGACGTCGACCTTCCCGATGCACCTTATACCACGTTTAGGTACCCTCCCTGTCCTCGATGCTTGGCCGACCCACCTATCAAGGCAGAGGGCTACAGACATACAGTCAGGGCCGACGGTGACGGTGCCTTCATTCTTCCAAGCTCAGCTGGTGTGTTGAAGCCAAATGTTGTCATGTTTGGCGAGAACATTCCCACCCACGTCCGAACTGCAGCCGAGGATGCCGTCGATAATGCCGGTCGGCTTCTTGTCCTCGGGACATCGCTTGCCACCTACTCGGCATGGAGGTTGGCCAAAAGAGCCAAGGAAAGGGGCATGCCCATCGCCATCGTCAACATGGGTGGCGTGAGGGGGGAAGACCAATTCTTCGAAGACGTAGATCCTACGCAGGCCGGCGAGCGAGCAGTCAGGGTTGAGGTATCGACAGACGATCTTCTCCCAACTTTGGTATCTCAGCTTCGCCAGAGGCTCGCATCTAGCTCGCTGCCTCATGATGCCGCACTGCCCAATGATTCGCGAGAAAACTCGTCCATCTTCAAAGATATGCTCTCTTAGACATCTGTAGATAATAATTGCGCTGCATCATAAACCATGATTCAGAAGAAGTTTCCGAAACTGGCCGTCTTCGTCTTCACAGGAGCTTCGGGTTGGACCTGCTGAGCGCTGCTTTCGGGTTGGCTCGTCATCTTCGCCTGAGGTTCCGTCTGCTTCTGCTTGGGTGGCTTCTCGGGGTTCCGGGATGCCTCGTCGCGCTCAATAGCTTGCAACACTTGAATCATATGTCAGCCACCTGACTGTAATACACATATACAGCCGTTACCGGGATTACTCACCTTCTTCCCATTCTGTTTCCTTCTGAGCATCTCCGGTTCCCAGGAGCTTTTCTACATCTACGTCCTCTCCATTCTGTATGCGCTGGACCACTTCTCGAAGCTGGGCAATTCGTAGTGCCGACTGTCGCATGTACCGCTCTGTCTGATTCCGCAGCGCAATCATCTGAATCGACATGGACCCGATGAACAAAAACATGACAATGAAATAGGTGGCCGGGTTCCACTCCTTCTTCGCCTTTGCCTTCAGCTTGTTGCGGTTCGCCTTGCGCATCGGCTTGGGTATAAGAGACCTCCAAAAAGATCCCTCGACGATGGTTACTGGCGCTGTGCTGGAGAATCGCAGTCCTTGGCTTGCACGTGCAACGTTGTTGGCAGCAATCGCCGCCATGCTTTGCCTCCCGGCGTGCAGCAAAAGCCGTTGAGCCATCATTGTCGAGTTCGTACCTGGATTTTTCTGCGGGTTTTGACGTTCAGGCTACTCCATGCAGTTGGTTGAAGGTTTTCTAGAACCCGGCAAATCGAAGTCGGATCTCCGAAACGGCGCTTGTCCGGCCCAGTTGCCCTGGACGACTCCCGATATTTACCCGTGACAGCTTTAGCCCGGCATCCTTGCTCTCTAGCACATTGAAGATTGATTACCACATTAGGCTCGTGCACTCATTTTGTATAATCAGCTTCATGCCGCAAGGCAGAATCTGTTTTGGATTGGCTTTTGGGACATTGAGATGATATGATTAACACCTCTGGGCGGAAAGAACACTCGAGATGGCTTCATTACAGGCAAAGGTCGACGCCGTCAAGGCAGCCGTTTCGTCAACATCAAGCTGCACGCCCGCCGCCGTAGTAACGCTCAAAGAACTTTTGCTGCCAGAAACCGAATCGCAACCGCCGAGACCAAAGTCACGATCTACAAAGGCCGGAACCGCGACGAAAACGAAAAGCAGCGCTGGCTCAGAGGGCGAGAGTCTGAGCTCACGGGAAAGAGCTGCTCTGGCAACACACATCATCAATGTCGCCCTCAAGACGTTGTCAGAGGCTGCAAGGCCCTTGCCTTCCTCTACCCAGTTGAAACAAAACGGCGATCTTCGAGAAGAAGCGGCCAGACAGTCATCACGAAGATCCTCGTCCTCACCGCTATCCCCTGCGCAGCCCAGAGCCCTCAATCGACTTGCTACGTCCGCCAACGTCGAGGCGAACCAGACGAAATCATCAGCGCCCGCCCAGTCGACCGGATGTCTTGCCACGGTAGAGTGTGCGCGCATTGCCTTCTCTGCACTTCGAGCTATCAAGGGACCAACAAAACAGGACGAAGCAGACTTTCAGCTGGAGACGGGCATGTCAGCGCTGACGGGGAAGCTGCTGGCTTTGGGGATGCATGACCAAGCTTTAAAAGAGCTGAGAGTGCTGAAGCGAAGGTTGGACAGCATAATCAATGGGACACAATCGGGCAGCGCAAAGTCAGGATCCGAAGTTACAACCACCACATCAGCAATTGCCGATCTGTTGAATTTCAATGGCTCCGTCACGAAGCAAAGCCTTGCCACCATCACAGGCTACCAGATGCAGGTTCTAAAGCTAATTGCGGCGACAAAGAAGCCTTCCCACATAGAAGTCATCCTACCCTACCTCGCCGATTCATATACCCGGTCTCCGTTCAACCTACTGTCTGCTCTGGCCAAGGAGGGGGCAAAGGAGGCCGCAAAGGCAGCACGCCAAATGGCATCCCTATCCCAAGTTCTCCTTTCGCTTGCGCCCAGCATCTCCAGCCAGGAGGACGCAGTGGCTACGGAGCCTCGACTTAGCCCGTCCCCCGATGTTGCTTTCGAACTACAATCTCTAGCTTTCCAGATCCAACTCAAGTGGTGGAAATTGGCCGGTCACAAGGGAAACATCGATAATGACGTAGTCTCTCCTTTCTCTCGCTGTTTACGAGCTTATACCCGTCGCCAAAAGCTAGACAAAGGCTCCGTCTACCAAACAGCCTCCGAATCATACGACACCATAATGCAGCTTATTTATGCCCAAAAATATCGTCCAGCAACATCGTTTGATTCCCCTCTAGCATCGATACATCAGATTTTAGGATCCGCAGCTCAGGCTGAGCGCCGATATACCGAAGCGCACCGATGGTTCCAGGAATTGAAGAGCTCGCTAACCCCGGGGCAGGACTCCTCTGTTCTCAGATGCTCCGTCTCGGCGCGCCTCCTTGCCGTAGCCTTAAAGAAGGCCGATATGGATCATACTATTGAGCCTCTGCTCTGCGAGGTCATCGAGGGCCTTGATGGCAGCCTCAGTGGAACAATTGCAGAGCTGAACGAACTTCTGGAGAGCTTGTCGCTTGCAAGGCGCTCCGTCGTTGGCCTCCTGATGACATGTTTAGGGCCGAATGCAGCAGAAAGCACCGTTCCGAGCGACCTGGTAAACCATCTTAAGACGTTCGTTCTCAAATACCCACGATTTGTTCGCCGATGGACAGGACTACCTCCAAACAAAGATGCGTCGCCTAAGCAAGTTCTTCAGTTTGATCAGCGACGACAGCTAGTTGCCCAATCCATAGGACAGACCTTCGATGCCACCCTGATGGTCATCAAATGCGACATCCAGTCAGATGCGAGTGGGTGGCAAGCTACCGATGATGTCCTTCAACACTGTGTCTCGCTGCTCGACTGCATGAATGCTTCGACTTTATCCACCACCAAGATAGACAACCTTGGCACCTACGCCGTCAAGATTTCAAGCCTTTACTTTTCCATCTTTTCGCAACTTCGGAAGAAATCTAGTCGATCAAAAGAGGAGAATAAGCATTTCCTACGGGCCTTGCATCGATCAATTGACGTGGTTAAGGACTGTACCGAAGACGAGAAGGAGAAGGCACAGCTATCGACGAAGATTGAGATGTTTGCCGATTTGTGCAAAAGTTCTGGCAGGACTGAGGACGCCGTGCAAACGCTGCGGTACATCTGCTCTAGTATGGCTGAGAATGGCGTCTTGGCCGATGTTGCCGCTGCCCTCGATACACAGTCTCCAAGTCTTGCATGGAGCATGAACGATAAAGTATCTCTCATGTCACGCACTCTGCGCTCCATGTCCAAGATTGACAGTTCGTGGAACGAGTGGACTTTTCATCTCCCAGAGGCCGAGCGTGCTGCGGTCTTGGAGCATTTGATGCATGTTGGCCTTGCTGGCTCTTCTGCGTCACCACAACCTCTCGGTCTTTACGATACAGCAGTGGCTGCTTTACTTCGCATATATACACTAGAAAAATATCCGGTGCGTCGACTCCGCGTGTTGTTGCATCTTTGCTACCAGAATCTTGGAGAGGAGGAGCACCTTACCAAAATCCTCTCCCTGGCTGAGGAAACATGGGAGCATATGCAAACCGAAGGCAACGGGGAGGATACATCCTTGGCCCATTTCATCCCCCATATGCAGGCTTATTGCACCTCCATCGCTGCTTTAATACGCGTAGATGGATCAATGTCGACACTAATCAACGAGGCAATTGATTCCTGGAAATCCATGATTGGGACTTGTCAGACACAAGACGAGCTGTTTACCATAATAGACGACCCTCAGGGCCTCCTTGATCATCTCCATTCGTTGCACCAGCTTGCAGGCCTTAAAGGAGAGACACGTCTTCAGCTTGCCATTTCGGAGCTCACTATCACCTTGTCAAGAGTATTCGTTGGATCTACCGAAGCCAGCGGTGATGGGCTAATCCTCAGCCATAGCCAGCTGGCGGCGCAATACGTCAGCATCGGGCTCTTTCCTCAAGCTCTTAAGACAATAGAAAAGACTCAAGAGCTTCTCAGTCGCTATGATGGGCTTTCGCGCCAAGTTCTTGCCGAGTTTTGCCTCTCCCAGGCAGAGTACCACACGGGTATTGGCGACATGGACACTGCGTAAGTATATCTTTGAATACCACGTATGTACCAAACAGAACAGAAAAGCTAATGGTTTGCAGATTCGGTTGCCTATCCAAAGCTAGCAAGATTTGCAATAGCCCGTATTCCTCTTGGGCTCGAAGCAAGTCTCACGCCTCGATGGTCATATCCCTCACCTCATTGTTGCAGTCTATTGTTACTCTCCAAGCTGGAGACATACAAGACGCACTCTCACTTGTGAAAACGAGCGTCCGCATGCTTACTCACAACTGGACCAAGCTGGAAGCAGCACTGGAGGCCGACCAAAAGAGCGTCGATATGAGCGTTTCAGAGATTAATACCAGCAGTACAGATTTAGCATCGTCAAAGGGAAAGGTGGCTGGTCCTCGGTTCTGGACTCTGGCCAGTCCGCTCATTCGAAGCCTTTTACACATCTCATCGGTCTACGCCCATATCGGCATGTTTCAGGAAACAGTCTATTATGCCGAGTCTGCTTGGAAGATTGCAGAGAGCACTCAATCCTCGCTCTACAAAGCACAAGTGGCTATCTGGACCGGATCAGTCTACCTCAAGGCTGGAAAGCTTCCCAAGGCACTCGCTACCTTCCAGGAAGCAGAAGAACAGCTGCCGCGTGATACCTGTTCAGCTCGTGTTCGCTTTGCTCGTCAACTCGGAGAGTTTTATTGGGAAATCGGAGAAGACGAGAAAGCTGCCGAGTATCTGAAGATGGCGGAGGAGACAGCTCGTCTTCTCAGCTCGGCCGAGGATGAATACGACAGCGATACTGTTGAGGAACCTGCCGCTGAACCCAGGACTACTAGATCTACCAGAGCAACAAAGACAAAAGCACCAGCTGCCCCTAAACCCTCTAAACGTGTAACGGCCAAGTCCAAAGCGGCAACTGCAACAGACATCATACAGCTACCAAAAGACATATATTATGCCAGCCTCCACGCCGCCATCATCTTGTCACGCACTTTGGGGCTCATTTACCAGAAAAATTGGGCGTCGGCCCTACAAGCCCTGGAACAGCTCAAAGATCTGCCTAAACTTGTTGGCGTGCTCTCTCAGGAACAGGTCATGATGGCAGAATCATTAATCGGCCACAGTATGGAGCAGATGATTTCTGATCCTGTCTTCTCCGTTATGCAGGACTCGACCATTTCATTCCCTGCTGTATCCAACATGGACCTACATGCTGAGAGAGTGCTCCAAAAGAATCCCAGTGATTCCGGTTCTGATTCTCCTGCTTTTGCTGATGCGTTGAAAAAAGCACAAGGGCTTTTAATCGAAGCTCACGCCTCTGCGCTGTCAAGCTCTGACAGCAGCATGGTTCGTCGCATCTCTGCGCTGCTTCAGAGCACCGTCATTCTCTTATCGGCGACATTGGCTTCGAAATCACTCTCAGAATCAGGGCTAGGCACAGTTGCTGTTGACATGGCTCGAAATGTGACTTGGCAACGAGAGCAGCAGACACTGGCGGGTTTGAATAACGATACGATCCCCGTCCGTGTTGCCACTCCAGTCCACAAGCCACCGACGAGGG